TCTTCCTGGCTCCCCTCCGTGCATACTGTGCATAGGTCCGAACTGTTTGGGTCGTTCTTTTGGCGTCTTGTGTGTAGCCATTGGTTCACTGGTAGYGCCGCATACGCGATGAGCCATTGAAGGCTTCTAATTTTAGTCGGYCTTATGGTCTTGAATTTTTTCCATGGAATCAGGGAGAGTTTGTCTGCCTCCTGTCCTAACAGTTTCTGCCATCTACGTCTGATTACCGGATCTGGGTTTTTTGTTTTGATCAAAAGCTTGTATCCCAATCTTACTGTGTAATCATATATCGTAACCTTTGATTTGATGTTCCTGTCTTTGTCTGGTATCCAGCCCCATTCTGCCGGGTCAAATTCCAAACTTTTAACCGCCGTATCCAGTCTAAAAATCCGCTTTGGCCATGGACCTAGTACTCTGATTTTCCTGAGCAGGTAGGATTCTAGCACTACCGTCTCCACTTTCTTGTTGAGTATTGATGGCATATCATGTATGGAAGGGGAAATCGGAAAAGAGGAAAAGACAGCTTGTGTAGTCGAACCCGGCTGCATGTGCGAGAATTGGAAGGCTCTTGAGGGAAAGGACTCTTGTACTTTCACCCCCCATTCTCCTGATTTCCATAGTGAAGCCTCTGCCAGAATGTCTTTCCAGCTAGATGGAATTCTGTCGATTATGTACTGTAAGTTAGCCCCTCTTCTGTGGCATCCTTTCAAGAGCATGTTCAGTTCCTGTTCAGTTATCCAATCCTTTCTTTCTTCGTTCCATAGATGACCAACTGTCCATACCCCGTTTTTGACCCATGACAGCCATTTCTGCTCTAAATATATAGGGTTGTTGCCTTTGTCAGTCACCCAATTGTTGCCAAACAGTGGTTGTCTTAGGACTTCATCTACTGATCTTGGTCTGTTCGTCCTTCTGGGTAGTATATCTCTCCATATTCGGATCAGAGCCGACAATAAGGGGTAAGGGACCTCACCGCGTTTAAATCAGGCTCTCCCCTTCGTTTTTTCCTGCCCATTTTCAGCTTCCATTATTTAGTCATGACCCAAAACAGACTTGCCATGTTATCGGGAGAAGTTATAGGTGCCAGGGTCCTAATGCTGTCGAGCGCCAGCTTGTTCCATGGGCTATCTGGCTTCATCAGCAGTTTGATCATCCATTAAACCTGTAGGGCTTTTGTCTCAGCCCTGGGGTCTATGATACCCAGCCCCCCATAGAGTGGTTTCCTTGTGATGTACTGCCAAGCAATCTTAGGTATACTGCCCTTTTTGTTTGGATTGCCTGACCATAAGTAGTTCCTGGCTAGGGTATTTAGTTCTTTTATTGAGCTGTCCGGTATTGTCCATATCAAGGCAACATACCACATCATCGCGAAAACCGAAGTATTAAGCACCAGGGCCCTACCTATCAACRAAGTAAAGACATTTCCCCATTTCCTTAGCTTGTTTAATTGTTTGGCCAGGATGTTTTGTGCCATTTGTGGAGCTAAACCATCCTTGGTCATCAGGATCCCCAGATATCGAGTGGGGGTATCCGGTSTGTCCCATGTCATTGAAGCCTCCGGCTCCTGCAAGACCGGGAAGTCCTCGTCTGAAAGCCACCACCCTACTGTCTTTTTCCAGTTTATTCTCATCTCGRACGCCAGTCTGAATGCTTCCATCGCTTTAGCTAAGGATTTAAAAGAGGAGTCCGAAGCCCGTATCAGAACCGTTAGATCATCTGCAAACATAATGGCTGTCGGGAAGTTCATGTGGTGTGRAGATCCCGCATYCACTTCCGGAARCCTCTGAATGGAGGGATCTTTCCGAAGGAATRAAGCAATAGCTTCCRTCACAAATWAGAAGATYGATGGTGCCAGTGGATCTCCTTGCCTAACTGATCTAGAGATTGGATAACTCTCTGAAAGGAGACCATTCACTTGCACACATCCCACTGCGTCATTGTACAAGATTCGGACCCATTTCCTAAAGTTCGGTCCCACCCCCATTCGTTCCATGCTAGCCTCCATGAACGACCAGTTGACTTGGTCATACGCTTTTTCAAAGTCAAAGAAGAGTATTGCTGCTTTTATCCTTTTTTCGCTGATTTTATTCACTGACTCATTCAAAGTTAGGACGTTGTCAAGTATGTAACGGCCTGGGATGAAGCCGGTTTGATCAATGTGAAAGCATTTGTCCGTTATGTTCGTGATTCTTGTTGCCTGTGCTTTAGCCAAGATTTTGTAAGGGAGCGTCAGTCGTGAGATTGGTCTATAATTCCTTATGTCTTCTTTTCCCCCTTTCTTGTATAGAAGTGTGACCACACTACTGCTGATGAGATTGCCTAGACCCCCTTTAGCCCAGCTGTCTTCGTAGAAGTTCATTAAGTCTCTCCCCAGGAGCGGCCAGAATTTTTCCCAAAATTCTTTGGTCAACCCATCAATGCCTGGCGATTTATCATTGTTCATGCTTTTGAGTGCTTGGCATAATTCTTCTGTCGTAATTGGTTTGTCTAAAGTCTCAGCTTGTTCCGCCGTAATCGTCTTTTCCAAGTATTGCAACATTCTTTGTCTCACTTCTCTTGTGGCCGTTGGGATAGGATCGCGTGTTCTTGTTTGGTATAATTCTTGGTAGAAGCTCTTTGCTACACCTAGCATTTCTTCACGGGTTGAGCCTCTCCTCTGGCGGCGAGAGGGTTTTTAGTCCTTCTATAGTGTTTGCCCGTGAATTTGCTTTGATACGAGCAAAGAAGTGTTTTGTCATTGATTCACTGAGTTCATATTCGTTCATTCTTGCTCTTATCTGTAGGCCTTTCAGGTCCCACCATCTCCATAAGGCTAGTTCCTCACGTGTCTTCTCGAAAATTTCTTTGTATAATTGGGAAGAAGCGTCATTGCTAAAGTTCATCTCCGCGATCTTCAGTGCTGATTCCAGCATTTGCCTTCTTTGTTTCCTTATGGAGGCAAGGTTCCTGGATATAGTCGCAACTGTCTTCGAAAGATCCAAGTAGCTATCTTGAAACCATACCCATCGATCCTGGGAGGCCAGTATCAAGTTTCTACGCCCTTGCCAGCAATCCCGTACCCCTCCCTGGAAGGTCTGACTTAAGAGGAGGGAGTTGTTCAATTTGTGGAAATTGGTACCTTTTTTTATCAGCTGGTCAAAGCTAATTATCAGTTCTGTGGGTTTATGGTCGAGCCCTGGGTATGGGGCTAAGGGTAATATCTGAGCATCTTTATCTGCCCCCACCATAATCTCTGAAACAAGGAAGTAATCAATACGTGAGAAGGCCGTGTGTTGAGCATGGTTCTTTTTGACTAGCGAGAAGGCTCTCGCTGTCGGGTACATGGTTCTGAAGGGATCAATCAGGCCATGGTCTAACATCAGCTTTTGGATAGGAAACGCTTTTGGAGAGTTGGACACGTTAAGAGATCGGGATATGCGGTCGATTGTGGGATCTAAAGTGGCGTTCCAGTCTCCTGCCATTATGCATGGCGTCAAGGGGGGAATTAATCTGTCCAAACTGGCTATGAAGGATGTTCTCTCCACTGGATCATTTGGGGAATAAACGTTGAGCAGAAGAAACTCCTCTTCATTCCACTTCAGGTGCATAGAACACCACCTCCCATCGTTAAGATCCGCTTCCTTGCTTATAACCTTCCCTGTTTGAAGGAAACGAGAAGAGTTAGGTATCAAAATGGTCGTTCCTTTTGTGCTTGACGTACTATCTTCCGCCCAGACTTCTTTTTTAATCCCGCCTAACTTTCTTGCCACCAACTTTTTAATCCTAGTATGTTCCCTAGAGGAGATAAGATGGGTTTCCTGTAGCAATATGATATCTGCTACCTTCTTGTAACTTACTGTTAGATCTTTGATTAGGTCAAAGAGCTCGTCTTCCCTCCCCTTAACATTACCCAAACCATTGACATTCCAACTTCGAATGGTGATCCCTTGGTGTCTCCACTCGCCCTGAGTTACCCCCTTGTTGGCCACTTTCCTGAATTCCTCCATTGCCCCGACTGTTACCACTATTTACCCCATTTACCCCAAGGCCCGATCTGCTGTTTCTTTTACGATGGTAAAGGTCCGCCTGTGTCCAAGCCCATCGTGTCCTCTCCCTGATCAGACCCCCGGAATCCTGCACCGGTCTCGAGGGCGTATCTGACTCAGACTCATCCATCTTGTATGGACCCAAGCTTTCCTCATTGTCTTCACCCTGTTCTATGTTCCTCCCCTCCTCGTCCCTCTCCTCATCATAGATCCAGCCCAGGGACTCCCCATCCGAGCCATCGCTCCTGTAGTATTTGTCCCAATCCAGCGCAAATGCTCGTGCTTCCAGATCACCATCTCCCTCCAGAGTGCCTGCCGCTACTAAGGTCGCGATTGATACTGCATCCAATTCTGCTGGCAGACTCGAGCCTGCCAAGATGCTGTATGGGACTGCAATTACAGTCCTCCACGGTCGCCATCTCATTCCTGACCTCAGTTTCGCAGTTTCCGGCAACTTGACGATCAATGGCATGAATGCCTGAGGAGAGTGTTTCCCTACTTCTGTGTCTGTTGCATCAACCTGGACCCCTACTTCCTGSGSCGATTGAGAMTGTGTGTCCTCCTGAACTGCTCCATTCAGTCCTATCTCAAAGACACCCAAAGGATAAGAACTAGAAACTTTCTTTCGGAGGACTTCTGCTAAGTTCTGGCCTTCTTCCAAGCCWGGGATCTGAAAGGAAACATCTGTGGCAACCTGCCACTCATCAATTCCTGACACATATCTTGCTGCGATAAGAGGACGGATACTCATCATTGTGAGCCTTGGCGACCTGGCGGTTTCTTCCACCAGTGGGGTAGCCTTTTTGGCAATGCGGTCGATTGTAATGAATTCTGGAGCATATTCCTCATTCAGTCTCCTCAATTTGTCTGTTTGGGCCAGTATGACCGCTGCTTCTTTTTTCAGCAGAGTGCGTCCAGATTCATCCTCAGATTCCATTGGATCTGAGTCATTGTCCCTCTTCTTCTGGTTCTTCCCTGTCCTCCATTTCGTTGGGCGCAAGCTTTGGAGTTCGTCTTTGGAATCAGGAATGGTTTTGTCTTTGTCTTTCAGACCGTGTTCTCTTGCCCTTTTCTTTTCTAGATACCTGAATGCCGTATATTCCGATAGCTCCTCTGCCTTGACCTTCCTGAGTGCCTCGAATTGGTTGTTGGAGTTCACGGATCCTCCTATCGGGCCCCTCTTACCAACTAACTGGGCTTTCTCAGCATGTTTCAGGCATGCTACCCTGATGTTGAATGCATGTTCCCTTTCCCTTTTGACTTTCTCTACATATTCTCTGAGCCACTGGAGCGATCGTTGAGATTCCTTCTCACTTTCCTTGTCCGGGTTGTCTCCCTCTGCGCTGCTCACATCAGCCATGGTGTCTGACTCCGCTTTCCCTTCCCCCTTTGCCTTGTCCCCTTGGCCGACTACAACAGGTTTAGTTACTGTTACCTCTTCTCCTCCTGCATTTACTGCCTTTCTCTTCTTGAGTCTACCCTCCATCATCTCCTGACCTTCACTGTTCAGCGTTCGTTTGTTTTCTGTTCGATCCTTGCTTCTTTGCTGGAGTGACGCCTGTTCTAAACTTTTCAGCTTGCATCTGAAACTTGTAGCTTCTTTGTCGAATTCCTGCATCACTTGTTCCTTTAAACATTTTCTTTTTCTTCCTCCTCTTCTTCTTCTTCTTCTTAGTCTTCTTCTTCTTCTTCTTCTGCAGGTACGCGTCTGTCAATGTTTGCAGAAAGCCAGATACGTTGTTGCCGGAGCCCG